ATATTTCATCACCTTTGAAAGCCTCGCAGTGAACGAGGCGATTGAGTGCACTTCCTTGGTCAGCAGGAAAAAACATTTTTCTGATCGGTTGATAGTTTTAGAAATGCAAAAAGAAATGTATAATTTTTTTGCGAAAATATAAATTTGCGAATTTCTTTTCAATGGCAGGTTTGTTTGACATTTAAATATTGTTTTGTTTTATTGCCATTTAAAAATAGTTAATTTAATTGACGCGTCTTAATGATTTACTTAGGCAAATTAAGCACAAAAGTTGGGGTATAAAATTTTTAGCTCTCCTCGCAGAGAAAGCTTATGCTAATTCAGCGCCCGTTGTAAAAGCGAGCACTTTCTCCCGACATCCATCGGGCGTGGCATAATTTAAATAAATTTGCGATGTAATTCGAGGTGCGAACATGCACTTTCAGCACTTGAATAATCTCCAGATACGAGAAACGGGAGGCGTCTTAAGCAGGTGAGTTGCCACACCGACGAACGACCTCGCGAGAGCTCGACGGGCGCCGCTTCACGCGCCGAAACTTTTTAATAAGCTTTAATCTAAGTATGCGCGCACAATGCAAGAGAAAGGGAGAGAGGGTGGAGGCCAGGAGAGCGAAAGTGTAATCATCATATTTTCCCGGCCTCTCTATAGAGCAATTTCATTCTTTCTTTTGTTAAACTTTTTATGTTAATTGCAAGAGGAAAGGAAAGTTCCGCTTGCAGCGCCGTTGCTCGCGGCGAAAGTATTTTCCTTTTTAATTTCCTGCAGCGCCCTTGAAATTGTCATTTCCTCGCTTCAAATCAAGATCGAGAGCGTCATCATTGCGTAAAGGTAGCCGAACAGAGGCTTTTGCCAATTAGAGGTGCTCCCTGCCAACCGTGAGAGAGGCAATCGTTTTGCTTTATTGGCTGCGTGTCACATTTCCTTTGCCATAGTTACGTAACGATTTTTTTTTCTCAAATTAAACAGGGAAAAAGGTTGAAATTGGTACAAACACAAGATTTTTCTCCAATTAATTAACACTTGAACATTACTTCATTATTTCCAAGAATAAATATTAAGACATAATTTCATTTACATTTTGTAAATAATTAATAATAACTTTTCCATCAAAGAACGTGATTTCCAGTTTTCTTACCTATAAACAACTTTCAAATAAAAAATGGCAAAATAAATTACCATTTCCACGAAAATTCCTCCACTCCACACCCAGAAAACAGGGCACTCAATTTCACCTACGCGCGTGTGTGACCGAAATAACCAGGTGGCCGGGAGCAGAGTTTAAGTGGCAAAAGAAAGCAGCCGGGCAGTGAATGAAATAGCCCGGAAAGACTTAAGTGACAAAGGTGCATTAATTCCGGCAGCATTGTAATTACCCAGGAGCAGATGACAGGGAATTACGATGTGCAATTACGACGGGCCAATTACCTCTTTTAATTTGAGAGAGCGGGCACTGAAAAAAATGGCTCAAGAGTGACTTGCATTTGCTATTTGCGGAGCAGAATGATTGGACTCGGGTTGCCGAGCGACCTAGGGAAAGAGAAAGAGGTCGCTGAACGAGGACGAGGAACTCCCTGATATTTAATATTGTTGTGTTGGAGCGGTATTGCGGTAAAATAATTACAGATCGCTTGTGCTGTTCTAAAGGGTCATTATCCGTTGGAAAATCCAAGCAATTATTTCGATATTTGACGAGCTTGGTGATTTTCATCTGATACTCTCAATTCAATTTTGAAAGGGATATACAAAAAATTTGTATTTATTTGCTAAAAAAAATGAGATACATTTTTATTTTAATGCTACAAAAGAAAAGAGTCAAAGAAGAATTTAAATTAAAAATGTTATCATTTTAATTCTTCCTCCTGTTTAATAAAATAGTAATAAGGAAAACTTCAACACATCTCATTTATTTCGTCTTCTCGTAATTAACTTTCAAAATCAAATATTTGCAGCATTTTAATGAAGTGAATATTTTTAGATTTCAGTCGCTTTTATTGTAATTAAATTGACTTTGACGAATTTCACGAAACGTCGATTTCAATTTATACTCGTTCGTTTATGTTTATATGCGGAACCTCTTTATATTCATGACAAACGCGCGCGCTATATTGTGTTTGTTTGTTTGAGTGCAAAAGGGAGGGTGTGGTGGTGCAACACTGCTCTAATGGGGTGTAATGTGTGGCAATCAGTAATTACACAATAAACAACACACGCCGAGGTCTGCAGATCAGCATAGCAGCCTCGGGGGCGACGCTTCGGCGAATCCACACATTATGGTGCATACGCTCGCTTTCGCACGATTCGCGCTCGCCCAGCTGCGTTGTGTTGCACACTCAGCTTGTGGCTGTGCCGCACTTGTAGCTACAGTACTTGCGGTGTCTGCAGGAGCCGTTCTGCGGCTTACAACTCGTGGGATTTGCATGCGGCGAACAAGGCCAACAACTCAAATATTGCTGCTCAACTACACGCGCACTCGCACCCTTTTTATTGGACAAAATGACACGGATTTGTGCTATCGGAAATCCAAGAGTATTATTTTGTGCAAAAAGAAAAGAGTAAGCTAGTTTTTTATTTTTTTTTTTACATTGCAAAATATTATCATAATAAGAAATTTAAAAAAAGCGTTTACATTTTGTGTTGAAATTTTGCATATTTTCAATAAATTTTCATAACTTATATGAAATATTTATTTTTGAAAGGAAATTAGAAGTTAATAAATGCATCAGGTACTTAATTTTTTATATAATTTTATAACATTTTTTTTATTAAATTAATAAGCCTATGGCCCTAGGCCATTTTGTCATTTTCTTAGATTAAACTCAAATTTAGAAGTGCACCCAAAAGGGATGTTTACGTTCGGAAAGTGGGCACTTTTTTCGGATTTTTTTTTACCCAGCTACAGTTTTTCAGAAAAATAATTTTTATCATTTAATCAGAAGACAATCTATCAGATAAATCAGATTATTTTCCATTTTTTTAATGTCATTTTTATTTCATGTTTTAGTTGGAATTTTACTCGCTGGTTTTCGCTATTAGAAACACAATCTTTTGCGAGAGTGCTGGTTCCAGCATGGTGCTGCTCGCGAGAAGAAAGGATGTGGCAGACAGAGATATGCAACCCGCGCGTCAGGTGCGTAGGGCACTTTGCATAAGCATTCATCAGACTGTCATCTCTAACGCGACGTGGTCGGCCCGGCCTCAAATAAGCAGCCGGCGAGATGCATAAATTATATCTAGGTCAGCGGCGAGATCATTACAAAGGGTTTATTGTTCCCTGCGGGTTTCCTGTTGCAGGTTTGCTTCCCGCGGGGGTCACATGTCACGGCACAGGTCGACCCGCCAGGGGAAGATCAGACTCGGAAAGTCATTCAAATAAATAACAAGCGCCCACACACTCTCCTCCTCCGGCGTTTCTGACAAAAGAGAAAACGGCCCACCTGCCGGCGTGATATTTATAAATTTTCTATGTTGTAGAATCAGACTAAATATAATAATAATACAATGAATTATAATTATATACACTATAGAATTAAAAAAAAAACATTTAAAAAATCAGATGTGGCAAAAATTTAATTTGGAAATTTAATTATTGCTTCTATAAAAATTACAAGAAAATATAAAAAAGCTTTTTATTATTATTGAGTGGCTATTTAAAGATTATTTCAATGTTACAATTTTAAATTTAATATACATAATTAACTGTAAATAAAATTTTTGCATACTTTTTATTAATTATAATTTTATTGTCATAAAAAAAATATTAAATTATTTTTCAATTCAATTTTATTTTGCTCTTTAGGATTAAAAGAATTCAAGTTAAGTTTATTTATATCGCAGTCGATCAATTTGGAACAGCTTTTTTTATCAATCTAAAGCCTTGCTTTTCTCACGCGCACGTACCATCTTCTCTTCAATTTCGCTCGATTACCCACCCCGATGAGAAGGAGAAAGAACTGAAGCGGTATATTTGTGATGCGATGTGTTAGTACAAAAAATGTGATTTCGCTCCGCACGCAGGAGAACGGAATTCACTCACGCGCTATTGCTCAAATAATATCTCTCTCCGTCTTTTCGCATAATGCATTCAGATGATATTTTCAGAGCCATCAAATTTCCTTCTGCTTGACTTAAAAAGAACTGCCGCCGCGCACTGGATGCTCTTTCGCCACATAAATTGTGAAGTGGCGCTGGATAGATAATTCCAACGCGTGACACGCCATGCGAAATGAATTGATGGTCCCCCGGAATTGCGCTGCCAAATTCGTGGATTATTGATTGCACGCCCAACAAATGCTGTTTCGCCGTTTCAAATCCAGCGCCGCCTGTTTGTTTCAATTAACCCTGCACCGTGCACGCAGACGAATAATGAAATACTGCGGGCTGTGCGAGTGTGTTTTTGGTGCGTCGAATTTTTGGATCAATATTATATGATTCTGGCAAACTGCGCGCCCCGAAGGTGAAGTGTCAAAAGCAGATTTTGCGATTTTGCTAAACACTTTGAACAGCAAAACAAACGGAGCTTGGTGCGTGAGTCTCTTTTTCCTTTAATGCAGCACGCAGCGTTTGAACTCAAAAGGAATGCGACTGAATTCGTCGGTAATTGAATTCTGTTGAGTTTAATTTACATCTCCTTTCCAGATGCGAATTTTTGAAGTGACATGAATTTATACATTCGAATGCTCTTTCATTACTGATATTGAAAGTGAAAGACAAAAAAAAATGCCTCGTTTACAAATATTTCCGGGAAAAGTGATTCTTTTCAAAGGCGATTTTCCCTAGATGGCTACATATATACTTCCTGGTTGAGCTTTGCATCAAAGTTTCCTCTGTGTGCCATAAATTGGCAAAAAAAAGGCACAGCCACTTGCCAATAATATTTACCTCGCTCGCAGACAGTCTGCAAGCATCAAACGATTTAATATTACAAGCCCAGCTGAGCAAGCGGCCCGACAGGAATAAATTCAATAACATGTCAATTTTCCAATTTATTCAGATAGCCATCGAGCACACACCGCCATTTATCATGTGCTGTAATAATATTTCCAAGATCAATAACTCTCGCAGCTTTCGGAGGTCTTTTCCAGCCCTAGATTGATGTTTTGTGTACCCGTTGCCTGCGTTGGCCGCCGCCGCCGCATTCTTTTCTTCCACCCGGCCGACCGTATCTTGCTCCATTGTGCACGCACCTCGGTGCCTTTTAAGTTGCAGTGCTTCTCGGCCGCGGGGTCATCTCGTGACTCACATCAGTAAAAGCGTGTCATGCCTGGAAATATTTTCAAATTTTATTACAAATTCTACTCAATAAAATGTTGAAATTTAGATGCATTAAAGAAATTACAATAAATTAAATTTTTGATAAACCTTATTTCAATTATTTAAGCCTTAAAAGGGATATAAAATTCTAAAGATATTTAAGTTTTGTAATTTATAGTTTCGGAGAGCTACTAAATCACTCTACACAATTTTAAAGTATAAACACTATTAAGCTATGCCTTAAAATACATTTTCCGCCAAAAATATAAGTTTCATATCTTCTAATTCGTTGTAATTGATTCTCTCATTTAACAAAATCAACAAGACATAAAATATTCCAAATTTTATTGAATTGGTCTCCTAAAATTAAAATTCTAATAATATGGAAGTATTTTTCTGTTCCGAACTTTGTAAGTTTGTATAATTTCTTTGTTAATTTCATCTATTAATTTTTTTACATTTTAAATAATTCCACTTCTCATGTAATCGAAACTGTGTATAATATAGCTGAATAATTCTGAACCAGATTTCAATTAATTAAAGTTAATGTAACTGAGTGTATCGTAAAATATGTGAGCAACGATAAATTTTGGGAGATTCGCCCTCGAGCTTTAAACAAAATAAATTGAATTCGCCACATAAATAGCGACTCGCGGAAGCACACATGCATGCTGTTGTTGGAATAATTTAGCAATATCTCTGAATGTCGCTCCCCTTTATTGAAAATATTTAAATAAGCCTTCTGGGAGCAAGGAGGAGGATAACAAGCTTTTGAACTTTGGCGCTTCGACCCTCTTTGTAATAGGACACTGTGCACTCGTTGGTTTTCATTTGAATTTTTACCAGATCTGCCACTTTTTCCGGGAAACCCATTTCGCAGTTGAAATCCTAGTAGTTTCGTTTTTCAAAAAAATATTATACTCTTGTAAACATGATATCAAAAAAGTTAACCAAAAGAAGAAAGGAAAAAAGATATAATGTGCAAACTCCTGAGGTACAATCTATACTGCTCGCAGAATTCTAAAGCGGTTTAGTTCTTGTTCGCCCCAAGAAAAAAAGGAGGACAAAACTTTTAATTAAAAGAGACGCCCGAGCTGAGAGTCAGGTGCGCTTTCCAATTTTCCACCATCGTGGCTGATCTGCAAACACGCGCGCATTCCCACTAATGAAGAGTATTACCAGGGGGCTGTTTGAGGGTGTTTTCGGATTAATTCGCAGCTGAGCGAGCAGCGGAGAACCGCCGAGGAAACAAATTCCGTCGTACACACATACATTAAGGTGCAAGCAGGAATTCTTTGAAGTTGCCAGTGTACTTTCAGCACAAAGACCTTCGGGTGCACCGCTCAATCCTTTTCCCAGAGCCGCGCTCGCCCCTTCTGTCTCGGCGAGCAGCTGAGCGAACAGCTCGGTCGAGCAACATTTCCATTCAGAACTAAATTCTACACAATAAAAATTTCCATTTTTTTTTTTTTAACTGGAAGTATTACTTTAAATATAATTAATGCTCAAGCAGAGCAAATAATTTCACCATGAAAAATTTATCCTATACTTGAAATTTTCGGGAAAATGCGCATTAAAATTTAAACGAGTTCTTTTCTGCAAAATGTCACTGTCCTCTCCGTCAGGGTTGTAGCACCAAGAAGGCTGTGCTTTGGTTAGACAAGTAATTTAATAAGGCAGCGCTCTCGCCGGGTTTCTTCCACTTGCAAACATTAATATATATTCTTCCTTGAGTGGTTAGGTTGCTTCTTTTCCATTTTTATTTGTGCACCCGAGTGGAAGCTCTAATAACAGTTGAAAAGTGAATTGGGAGAGAAGAACGCAGCGAGAGGTGGAGATGGAAACATTATTTCATTTGAGACCCCATTTCTACTCAAATTGATTCACTTAGCGTTTCTCCTCAATGAGAATATATGAAAATGTGTAAGGAAAGAAGATAGCAGGATTTTTTGGCAACAGAAATTATTCTCTTTTAATGATGTTTAGCAGTTGCATGAGAAACGTCAGCACCATTCTTACATAATGTATTATTTCAAATCATATTTTTGATGAAAAAAAAAATAATAAATAGTAAATACTACAGACAAAAATAATTAGAAAATGGAAACTTACTGTTCCTTTTTATTAAATTCAAATTTAATTTTTTGAATATTAAAATATAATATATCGCATATCGCCAAATATTCAAAATATATTAAAGAAATCTTCATAGTTTTAAATTTTAATTTGGGAACTACAAGATATTTGAAAAAAAAACAAAGATAAAAAAATTAATAAAATTATTCAGCAACTCCTTGTCCAAGGTCCATAATATGAGTTTATTTTATGACAATAAACAAACTTCCAAAAAAAATTACCAACCCACTCATCATTTTTATTTCAATCCTTTTTAAAAGTATCACCAGCCAAACTCATAATGCAATTTCTGTTATAAAGTATACACAAATTTAAGTCTAACAAAAGCATTCAAGTTTTGGGAGAAAATAAATCATATCGTATGATAATTGACAAAAAAAACCAACAGCCAATGAGATAAATAATAGCCTTCGTCATTTTCAGAGGAAAACGCAGCTCTTTTTATTTTGCACGTGGGTAAAAATGATCGTTCGTCAAACGAATAAATTTGTGTTATTTTAGCGTTTTTCCTCATGTTCCCAATTCACAGAGAGCTGATGAAAATAGCTTAAGGACAATTAAAACGGCCATTTCAATGTAAAGAAGAAAGGCATGTTATGCCGAGCAAACACATTCTGTAGGTCCGCAGGCGGACGCAGTGAAATACATTATGAGGCAATAACAACTCAATTTCATACGCAAGCCAACTACAAGCGAGTTAACGCTAAACCAAATTTGCGCCTCTCGACTCGCGAAATGGTAAAACGCCTACTCAGAAACAACAAAAAGTCGTGGAATTTGCTGGTGAGAGCGGCGCGTCGTGTTCCGACCGAAATTATGGCGGCTGAACACAAAAAAAAAAGAAAAAGAAGGAAAGGCGTGCGCATTTAAATTATTCCGAAGTGCCTTGCTTGAGCTTTAATTACACTCGCTGAGCAGCACGCTATTTTTCACAGCGCGCGCCGCTTTCTTAATTGAAATATAATTGCAAATGCTCGCTGGGCAAAAACAATCGAGAATCAGGTTTTGCACAATTTTCGGCAATTTGAAAGCACAGCTGAGGAAATCAGCCAGTACAAAAGTCAAAGTTGGTAGTAGATAAAAAATTTTAATGTAAATCATTGGTTTGATACATCAAAACATGGGAAAATCAGATTCAAACAAATAAAAAAAACTACCAGTTTGTTAGTTAAATTTGATAATTAGCAAAATCAATGCTAACAAACGTTAATTTTTGAAAATGAAAAAAATTGCCAATGAATAAAAACAACAAGGAAAAACCTAAATTCTTCATTTCAAAAAAATAATTAAAACAGAATAAATATTTTATTTGATTTAATGTTGTGTTATAACAATGTTTCTTAATGAAACTCACAATCAATGAAAGGATTAACAAATCCCATCCATCTGTTATTTTGTTTCTTTGACTTTTAAATTTCAAATAAAAATCTTGCAAAAAAAAAGATAATGTGTTGGACATTCTGAATTACATCAACCAATTTTTATTTTATATTCTACACGTTTTAATTTGAGGAAGTGCTCTTGTGCCAGCAATCATAAAGTAGCTACCACCTTAAAATTCCCAGAAAATGTTTTTTATGAACAAAGAGTAAAATTTTCCTGTGCTCCACCTTAAAATTCCTCAAACACTTTGTATCAACAAAGCGGGAGGGCACTTTTATTTTCTTTAATATATTCCAAAAATTTTTTCCTCGTGCATTTGTGCTAACAAGTCTTGGCATTTATGAAAGGTATAACATTCAAATATGCGCGCGTTCGTGTGGGTATGAATAAGAAAAGACAAAGCACCCGTTTTCTCGGGAAAGTTTCACGCTGCAAAAACTCTCGTGCGGCAAAAAAAAAAACGTTCAGCTCGAACGCTTCCCCCAAAAGAACAAACGAGAGAGCGTGTGCGATTTATCTTCGCGAGAATTTGTTGACATTGCTCCTTGGAGAGATGAAATAAATGCTCTCCTCGCCTCGCAATTCTATACACACGAAGGCGCGGGTCTGTGTTTTAATTTATGGCGTTGAATTCGTCCCGTCGCCCTGCGCCCGCCGCACAGAAATGCAAACAATATTGTGCGGGCGAGACAATTATTCAGGCGTGCCTTTGAAACGCGTCATCAATATCGAGCGACTCGCCACGCTAATTACTTCGCATGCACAAATAAATAACGTGTGTGGCCGACAGGTGTTTGAATCGCCATTAAAATGCAGCCAAGTGCGAAATAAAGTGCCAGCAGCCAAACCATGCGTCGCTTTATCAAATTTTGATGAATATTCTGTTCACCCCTCGATTTGAATCACAGCGCAGAGGCCGATTGCAGTCTGTGCTGCTAATTTATTTGCAAATTGCCTTGTTTGCATGAGCGTTGCTGGGACGATCGTTTTGGGAAACAATGATGAATTTTCGGAATGAGTTTTTCGAATTGAAAGTTGCGTAGTGAAAGTGATTTGTAAAAAGGTAAGCGATCAGTTTCATTACAAATTAATCATGCAATTCAGATTGTAACGACGTAATTTGTAAAAGCTACCTGTTATTTTTCTTTTTACTTTACTTATTTTTAAATAAATCGACGACAATGACGTATTGACACTAAATTCGTTTTGCTTATCTTCGCTACAAATTAATTCCATATATTATGTAAAGGGCAAAACAAGTTCTTTTGATCCCCTAATATAAACGATGGAAGTTCTTTTAAAACGTTAAAATGTTGATTTAGAAAAAAAAATATGCTAATATTTGTTAAAGATACGTCCATTATTTAATACGTCCATATATTTAATATTGTTCTTCTTATTAATTTTTTTCTCAAAATGTATATTTTTAATTTTTCTCATTAAATATTGAAAATTACAATTTCAATCAATAATTTTTTATTGAGAATAAAT